TTAGCTTTTTTCTACAACATGAGGTTTAAAACATTTTTAAAAAAATTCTGCAGATCTGGGGGGCTCCCCTTGGTGCGTAAAAAAGTGTCTCCTCCCCATTCATTGGGTTTTTAAGTCTGTATTGGGACCAGATTCAGAACTGACTATATGTCATAATATTGCACATTCTTCCCTTTGAACAGCAGTGTGAAGTTCAGGGGGCAATGTTATCTGGGTTTGGTTTCTTTTGAGTGAGGGAAAAGCACTGGAGACATACTTTTCTAATTTTTGCTTTATTTACATATATACCAGTAGAACATGTGTGTATGCTAAGTGCTGTTCAGTCACTTTCAACCCATGGCGACCCTATGAATTAATGTTCTCTAAAACATCATACTGTTAACAGTCTTGCTCAGGTCTTGCAAACTGAGGATGGGGAGAGAAAAAGCAGAACTCATGCAGGGCAATAGATCTCCTACCCTGAGAGAGAGATGCTCTTCATCCTTTACTTTTCATCTAACTCACAGCTCTCCGTATCATTTCCAAACTGCTGTTTCTTCACACATAGTGGCTGCATTGAGGCATCTTGACAAACAGAGGTTGGTCCACAGTGGGCAAGAACATAACTTGTTGCTGTGTTCAGCCACTGCTCTTGTTCCTGTCCCTTTCCTTCCTTCTTCACTTCCTTCTACTGGGTGACCTTGGGCCAGTCACAGTACTCTCAGAACTCTCCCAGCCCCACCTACCTCAGAAGGTGCCTGTTGTGGGGAGAGGAAGGGAAGGTGATTGTAAGCCACTCTAAGACTCCTCAGGGTAGAGAAAAGCGGGATATAAAAACAACTCTTCTTTTTCTTCCAACACTTATTGATTTGAGAAGACATTTGCCAATCTCCAATTTGCCACAGACTTGGGAGAAGAAAACAAACTCCAGTTTGCCTAAGCATCTGTATTTAGATGTCACAGGAGACAGTAGCTTGAATGAAGCCTTCCCTAATTAGGAAATTTTAAATTTTACTCTGCACACAAGGAGGAGGGAGGAGAGCTTATAGGCATGTCAAGAAATTATGTTCATGCTTGTCATGGACAAACCTTTGTTTGAGGGGGTGGTCATCTTCACTAAACTCTAAACCCAAGCAAACAATCAAAGAAAAAAACAGAGATTCCCTGCCTAGCAGGAAACAAACCCCTAACCATTTGCTTTGATTGATAAAATATTTGCTGACCATTCTGGGCTATTAACCAAACAAATGAATAGTCATTCAGCAGCTGGAGACAATAATTATGTAGGTACTTAACGTTTCTCAGTGAATACTCCTGTTTTGTGGTTGCAATATTGGCATAAGCTTCTGTTTGTTCATGGCCCTGCTGCTGCTGTGCTTCACATTGCCATTTCCACATCTTGACACCTCATACCAGCCTGTACCATGAAAAGACATGAAGCAGGTATTCCAAGCAGCACCATGAGAGCCAGTGTGGTGCAGTGGTTTGCCCATGAAAGGCATGAACATAATTTATTTACATGCCTATTAACTCTCCTTCCTCCTCCTTGTGTGCAGAGTGGGCTCTTGCCTGCCACCAGCCAGTTGGCCAGTGGGGGGAATCCCACCCCCAACTGACCTTCCTGGGCGACTTCCAGTAAAACCGGAAGTGCAGGCACCGATGTGATGATGTCACCCAGAAGTGACATCATCACTTCAGGACCATCAGGGGGGTGACACTTTGGTTTGTGGGCAAAACCCTATGGTTGGAAGCCAAATTTACCGTAAAGTTTTGCCAAAAAACCCCAGAGCATCGACCCCCGACGTCTCCGACATGGTGACCTCACTTCCAGGTGATATATTGTGTCAGGGCCTGCCCTTCTGGTTTAACATTCTCTCCGCTTAGCTTCCCTCACAGGGTGGCTGTTAGGATAAAATGGAGGCGACGAGAGTGATGTCAGAAGCTGCTTTGGTTTGCCACTGAAGAGAAAAGCAGGGTGTAAATATCTAAAATAAATAAACAGCAGATATCATAGCAATTACTATTTGTTCATTTTTAAACCATTTTAATGCCGCCTCTCAGCAAGTATATTCAAGGCAGCATTTCTCATTTTCTATCTTCATTTTCATTTGCTTTTAAAAAAATTTTTTTTTTTACATAATTTGGCAACGTTATAGCCTTTCTGCCCAAAGTCACCCCAAGGCAGTTCGTAATAAACACAGAAACAGATCACGCAATGTTTTAAACAAATACAATAAAATAATAAAATACTGGCAGAGTTACACTGTTGTAAAATCATGGAAATCAATGGGTTTAGCAGGGTGTAGCTCTGCTTAGGATCTCAGTGTAAAATGTGAAAAACAAGGGACCATAAACCAGCAGCTAGTCATAATAGTCAAAAGAGCCATAGCAACCATTCAGTTTAAAAGTAAACATGTAGGAGAAACTATCTATATATAAAAACATTTTTAGTCTGGTTGAAGGAGGGGGAGAGTCATTTTCATCTTATGTGCTAAAATGCCTCAATTTAGCACTTTCCCCATTTGTGCAGAATTTATGTGGTGGCAGTCAGGGTTACAGAGAGCCTTAGAGAAAGATTCCAGTTGGGCTTGGTTTACATTCGTCAGCCCACACACAAGATGTTTGTTAAGAGCAGTGTATCATGACTATCCCATTGCAGCACCTTGCGAAGACCAGGTGGGTGTAGGTGTATGAAATCCTTGGGGGTCCAGAGAGGGCATCAGCAGCAGCCAGGTGATGTTAGTGTTGGAGAGATGCCGCTATAGTCTCTTGAGTGTCCAAGGATTTCACCAACAGGGCCGGAGAAAGATGTCCTGTCCCTTTAACAAAGGCTTAATATGTGGAAATGAGCAGCTGAAGTTCTTCAAGGCATGGAGGTAAATAACATCACCAGGTAAATAACATCCAGTGTGGAGTTGTGGTTAGAGTGTCGGACTAGGATCTGGGAGATCCTGGTTTGAATTCCTGCTCTGCCTTGCTGGGTGATCTGGGGCCAATCACACACCCACAGCCTAACCTACCTCAAAGGGCTGTTGTGAGGAGAAAGATGAAAGTTGCTTTGAGTCCCATTGGAGGAAAGATGTGCTATAAAGGAAGGAAGTAACAAGAACAAGAGCAACATCATTATTAGAGAAGAAGAAGAGAAGAGATTGGATTTATAATTATAATAATAATACTTTCGATTTATTGATTGCTTTTTCCCACACACCTGTGGGTTCAGAGTGATTTACAGTTACTCATGACATTTGGACTAACAATATTCATGGGGGATAGGGAAGACAACATACAGTATTTTTAATTACACACACATTGTAGCTGCCGGAGGATTCATCTGCGCCCTGCCCTTCACTACCCGAAGGAGCCTCAGAGCAGTTTACAAACTCTTTTCCCTTCCCCTCTCCACAACAGACACCCTGTGACGTAGGTGGGGCTGAGAGAGCTCTCTCCAGATCTGTCCTTGAGAGAGCAGCTCTGACAGAACTATGGCTTGCCCAAGGTAACACCAGCAGCTGCAAGTGGAGGAGTGGGGAATCAAACCCGGTTCTCTCAGATTAGAGTCCGCACACTTAACCGCTACACCAACCTGGCTCTATTAATGTTGTTGTTGTTGATAAACCAGGTGGCAGAGTTACGCTGTTCTAAATTCATGGAAGTCAATGAGTTGAATTAGTAATGGGATCATTATTGATAACAACAACAATAGTCCCGTTTTGCATCTACTAAATGGACAGGAGGTGTTTTTCCCAGGCAGTTGTTAGCCCTGTGGGTACAATGTCATATCTGATAGGATTGTATGGGTGTTTAGACCTTTGCACCTTCCTTACTTGCTCTGCATAGCTGAGCTGAAAGTCGCAAAATGATAGAGATTACACGAGCAGAAACGAATGCCGCTTTGGTCAACTTCAAAGGACCCACAGCTCATATGCTTAGCTCATGGGAGTAATCTTTATGCTCACGCCAAAATAGTTGCACCTTTCAAGAATTTATGTTCTCTGTGGTTTGGGGGTAAGATTTGTCTCTTCCATTACCTGCACATATGGCTTCCATTTTCAAGGAAGTCTTATAATCAAATTTTCAAGAGTGATTGATGCTCTGACCTTCAAATTGCTTTCTTGGTAAAGGTCTATTTATTTCCAGCTTGTTGCAGGAGGGTATTTGCTTTCGACAGCTCCCGATTCCTGAAATTCCTAAGGCCTGAGCCTGGAATCCTAAACTGTCCTTTTGAGGTGAACTACCTTACATTAACTCCAGTGGGATTTAACAGTAAACAGGCTTAGAATTCGGCTATGGAACTCTTGGTGGTACCTGGGGGGTTGGGGGAGAGCAATGATCACAGAATGGATTCATCCACTTCTTGTTCTCCTTTCCTCTGGCCATTTTGGAGTAAGCAACTTGAGCATTTGCATCTTAAATGCTCGTTCTGATGTGGTTATTTGATCCACAGGATATCTGACTGAATACACATAGGAATAGTTTGCTCTAATGGATCATTGATGTAATTTGGCAGTGACTCAGAAAAACATGCAGTTCCCCCCCCCCTTAACTTCACCAAACTGCTTTTGGAGGTCAGAAGGCGAGGGGGTTGAAAAAAATCCTGCCCTTCCTTGAAGAAGCTAAGGATAGCATGCCTGTTTCTCCCCGCTCCCAATTTGTCCTCACAACAATCCCATTTGGTAGGCTAGGCACAAATGAGCAGCCCAAGATCACCCAAAGAGCATCATAGCTGAGAAGGGATTTGAACATGGGCCTCCCAGGTCCTGATCCAATATTAGAAAGCACCATAACACAGTACTTCAAAAGAAATAAAGGAGAGGGAGAATAAAATTCTTGGTTTTTGCCTGTGAACCTAAATACCCTAATTAGATTGTGGCTGTTGCTCGTAGGCTGCACATGCTCTGCAGCTTCTATCTACTTTTGCTAGCGCAAGGCAGTTGCTACACTGGGAGTTGCACCCGTCCTGTTTTGTTCTTTGCTAATAGACCGAGAGAAAAATCACCTTTTTTTTTGCTGTTGTCTTTCAGCCGCCATTGTCATCCAGAAGTGGTGGTGTCAGATGAGCCCTTGTCTGGAAGGAGAGGAATGTAAAGTGCTTCCTGATTCCTCAGGGTGGTCCTGCAGCAGTGGGAATAAAGTCAAAACTACCAAGGCAAGTCTTTGTTCCGTATACAAAAAGGGCTACTTTTGAAGGGGCTTATGTCATTTTGTCGCTGTTCATGTTTTTATGTTGGACTGCGTGGGTTAGTCTTTCCTAAGATCCCTGATTTTTGGTGTTTCGGAAAGACTCTGATTGGACTTAATGTTTACCCTTTTTGTCCATGGTCTCCACAGACGCTGAGGAAGTAGAGAGGAGCATTCTCTTTTTAGTCCTTGGGATCTTCTCCTTCAAGATCTGCCAAATGTTATGAATGATGGTGTGGAGAAAAAGCCTTGGACTAAAGATAGAACAAATTGTACTTGGGACAGACCTGGAAGAGCCTGCTCTTTCATATTTTGCAGTGTGCACTCCACCCTTGTTGAACCTTTACTAGTAAAGAGAAGGATACCTAGCACAAGGGGTGGAGAAGAAGCATCTTTAATGTACTGTGTTTTAGTTTGATCCATAGGCGATAAAGACAACCATTGAAGTAGAAAGAAGAAAGTAAAGTGATATACTCAAGGAACACTGTTGGAGAAAATTTCACTCAGGCTTGCAATTTACCCGCTTTGGTGGAGGATCCCCTGCCCACAACAGGCACTTTCCTGCTGTCGCTCAGCTGGACAATGGGGGGAAGATGTCAGGAGACCAGGGGAGGGGATGTCAACAGTATCTACAATGTGCTGACATCACTCCCTGTGTGCCCAGAAGTGATGTCAAGGCATGGCTGGGGATGCTCTGGCATTTGGGCAAGACTCTATGGCTAGAGTTTTGCCTAAATGCCAGAGCACCCCCGGTGTCCCCCACAACACACTGACATCATTTCTGTATACAAAGGGAATCATGTTGGTGCATCACCAGGGACATCATTACATTGCAAACAAGGGCCTCTACTATGTGTAAGTCCCCCTGCCCTCTATGTGTAGGTCCCCCTAGGACCATCATACCTTAAGGACTGCCTCTCCCATTATGAACCCCCCACAGTGTTTGCGTTCTGCTTCATTCAGACTTCTGATGGTGCCTAGTCCTCAGGTACTTTGTTCAACTTTGACCAGAATGAGAGCTTTTTCAATCGTGGCCCTAGCCTGGTAGAATGCTCTGTCTGAAGAGACTCGTGCCTTGCAGGACCTGTCTAGGTTCTGTGGGGCCTGCAGGGGTCATTTCCTGCAGGAGCGCACAGGAGTGGAGCTCCGGCAGTAAACAGCCCAGGGGGCGGGCACATGCAACAAGCCCTGCCCCCTGCTCCCAGCAGCCCTCAGTCAGAACAAGAAGCAGCCAGGTAAATTGCAGAGCCCCACCCCCACCCCCTGTTTCAAAACAGTCCAGTGGCACCTTTAAGACCCAGTTGTATTCAGGTACAAGCTCTTCCTCCTCTGCGAGGACATATTGGCACATTATCCCCCCCCCCCCAATACCTACAAATCCAAACACGCCCACGATGAGCGGTGGGTGTTGCCTTCTGACACATTACTGGTGATGTCAGGGGGTGTGGCATATGCAAATAAGTTATGCTAATGAGTTATGCTACTGAGCGCCTGCACCTCTTTTTCTACAAAATAACCCCTGGGGGCCTGTAAGATGGAATTATTCCTCCAGGCATTCCACTGAGGCAATCTTACTGGGCCTACTATCAGCTTCTCTGATCGTCATGCCAGGGTGCCAGTGTATTAAATTGTTTCATAGAATATTTGTATTTTATCTGTGTTTTGTATCTGTGTTGTTACCCACCCTGAGCTCTGATTGCCAGAGAAGGGGCAGGATAAAAATGGAAATAAATTTTAAAAATTCCAGCTCCTGTCTGGCAACCCAAATTCCACTTTTGTTGTCCTCCTGGTAGCCCCAGCCATTGAGAAACTACCTTGTTGCCATCTGTGTAGTTTCCCCTTGGCTTCTGTTTTGGGGTGGACTGCATATAGTTTCCTTACTCTGAACCTTTAGGAAAGACTGTCAGCAAGCTGCCATTCTGTTTTCTGTGACCTCTGTGTACATATCTTTACCCTGTTGCACCCGGTTTGTTTCTACTATGGTAAACTCTGGTACCTTATCGAATGGGTTGATTTCGGTCCCCAGCACCGCGAATGGGTGGAAGAAGGGGATATTCGGGCCCCTTACCTGATCCGTAGTTTCCACAAGAGGTTCCCGGACAAACCGGGAGGTCTCCCGCCCAGCCCGGGAGATCTCCCGCCCGACCCGGGAGGTGTGTTGTAAGTGTATTTTAAGGGGGGCAGTATGTCAGCAAGCTGCCATTCTGTTTTCTGTGACCTCTGTGTACATATCCTTTCCCTGTTGCACCCGGCTTGTTTTCTATCATCCTGCTCCTGCGTTGGAATGCACAAGATAACTGCTGGAGGTTGTGTGGGGGAGAAGATGCTGTAATGCTTGCCTATTGCTTTTCTCATGAGAACTGCACCTGTGTTTTGTCTGATGTTCTGCCTGGTTCCCATGGACTGGGCGCGCAACCGTTTCATTAGCCCGCCAGCGGGAATATTATTCATTGGATATGTATCTGTTTGAATTTCCTTTATTATGCTCGCCCTACCTGTGTATCCCCAGTTCTAACAAAGAACGTGTTTGAGTATGTCTTCAACGCTTTGAAATAAATTTTGCTTTTCTTGAAAACGTGGATTTATTCTCGATGCTTGGGGATCCAACATATTGTTAGAACTCTCTTTCTCCTATCGTTCCGAATCTGGCAAGATCATGAGCGGAACTGAGGGAAACCTACTTAACACGGAGGGGGACTCAGGATCGGTCCCACATACCTCCGCTCCTTTGGTGTTCACGACTGCAGCCTCGGTGGAGGGTGCCGTGGGGGGAACGATTCCCCGCCTGCCTGCACATCTGTCTTGGCCGCCTCCGACCCCTTCGCACTGGGGTCCGCGGAAGACTCAACAGCAGGATGACTGGACTATGTACAACACTCAGGGCACCCGAGAGGTGTACTCCCGTCGGGGGAGCGGATTACGTGAGAGTCTGTTTGACAAGGGATTGTTCCCGGAGCCGGGGACTACCTCGGAGAAGGGGAGTTCCAAGCAAGACCTCGAGGAGTGGATGTTCGAGCCATCGGGGCCGCGAGGCCACGCAGAGGATGAGGAGGGCACCGGAGCCTTCCAAACGGAAGAGGACTATGACCCACCCCCGGACTATCGACCTCGGGACCCCATCCCGGAGGAAACCACCGGGGAACGACTGGCAGAACTGGAATACTCGGTGAGGGACTTGTTGAGGACATTCCAGGATGTAATGGAAGCTCTGCCGGGAATGATGGACGTTAGAATGGCTAATTTCCTTGACGCACACGCCGCGCAGCAACAAGTTGTCCCTGCACCGGGAGTTCCCGCACCGCAGGTGCCTGCTCAGCCGCCGACGGGACCTCCGCTGCAAGTACCGGGAGTTCCCGCGCCGCAGGTGCCTGTCCAGCCGCCGGCGGGACCGCCTCAGCAAGGGCCTGTGCAACAGCCGATGCCGGGGGGTCCGCCGGTGCCGGGTCTGCCGCCACCGATGAGGCCAATGCCAGCGGGGCCACCGGTTGGTCCGGGTCTCCCTCTCAGGGGAGTTCCGGGTCAGCTGGGACCGTTGGTACGGCCTCCATGGCCCAGACCCAAAGATCTACTGGAGGCTACCTTTGACGGCAACCCAGATGAACTCGCTTTCTTCACGGTGAGAGTGCATAAATTCGTAGAAGAGAGCCGACACCTGTTCCGAAATGAAGCTGGTCTTATTGATGTCATCTCGGCAAGACTAAAAGGAGACGCCGCCACATGGTATGTTGGACTGCACAATGACCGCGGTCCGGAACTTTTGAATTTGCGAGCATTCATGTGGGCGCTGCGGGCGAGGTTTGAAGATGTCAACGCGAGCCAAAGAGCTAAAGCGTTTCTCCGCACCTACCGCCAGAATAAGAAGTCGGTTCGCGAGTACACACTGGAATTCCACAAGCAGGCAGCAAAGCTCCGAGACTACCCTGATCATATATTGGCTGAGATGTATCGATTGGGACTCAACGCAGACATCCGAGAAACGGTTCTGAAGACTGTCAATCCTGTCTCCCTGATGGCCTGGACCCAGGAAGCTGAAAATGCAGAGGATCGGCTCACCACCATCAAACTCGACTTGGCTGCTACGACCAACAGACCCGCCGCTGCCAGTGCCTCCAGACCCAAGACTCAACGCCTGTCGGAATCGGCACGAGAACTACGTATGAAGATGGGGCTCTGTCTCAAGTGCGGGGAGAAGGGGCATTTCGCTGTGGATTGTGGCAGCCGTCAGGTAAAAGACAAGCCGCCTACTCCAAGCCCGAAGACACCGCTGACGGGGAAGAAGGGGATGGCTAAACCGCGTTTCTCCAAAGCTCTGCAGGCGGCCCAAGGCCTGGAGGGAATCGAACCGTCTGCTGCCGAGTCAGAAGAGGAGGTGGTGGCTGAAACGGCGGAAAACGACAACGGCCTGTTGTGAGAGGCGCAAAACGACACGGCCATTCTAGCTCTGCGCCCAAGGTGGTGAGAGAAACCCCTTCCCTGTTTTTCGTGACTGTCTCGTTAATGAATCCGCTCCTGGGGACCCACGTTAGGGTGAGAGCGTTGATTGATTCTGGGTGTGGGAGGGATCTCATCAGCCCTAGAGTGTTATTGGCACTGGAAGCGGGGATAGTCCCCTTGAAGTCTCCCATCATTTTTACCCAAATGGATGGGGCACCCATGGAACCTTGTACACACGAGACTATGGCTTTGCGGTTGGGGGCTGGCGATCATTGGGAATCCAGATCCTTCATTGTTACCCCTAAATCGCAGTTTGACTTAGTACTGGGGAGTCCCTGGTTGTTTACCCATGACCCTTACATCTTGTGGGAAGAAGGGGTTGTCAAATTTGTGTCGGCTAAATGTGTAGATCACTGCTGGTTGGACTCGTGGGGGGACCAGCCGACCGCACAGTTCCCCTGCGGCGCTTTGCAGCCGGAAGAGTTAGCTTCTTTGCCTCGAGAGTATAGAGACTTGGCGAAAGTGTTTGGCGAA